AAACCAATCCAGGATTAATATTAGGGGGTTATTAAGAAACTGTTGCAGGTTTGGGGGGGAAGTGGTGAAGAAAGGTCAGAGCGGATGGTACAACTTCTTAACTGCTTCTTATACGGAAGCTGAACCCAGCGCTTTAAGACCCTGCTCGTCCTCTCAGCCCAAGAAAATCTCTTAATAGTACATGCTGTACATTAAATACAGCATAGTGAGGAGTGATGGAGTGAGCGGCACGCAGGGCTTTTTTTCTGAGGGAATGTGCCAGAACAGCATTCCAGAACCTCTGCAGCAAACTTATTTTTAAAATGTCTAAAAGTTCATGAGTTTTCCGTATACAGACTGAAAACTTAATTTCCCTCTTGAGAGTTCAAGCTCCTCTTTAAATAATAATAATTTTAAAAGCCCTTGGCTATATGTTCCATCAGGGCTCAACAAACCCCAGGGGCCAGGTCATCGTGGAGCCTAGAAATTTAACTGTGCCGCCTAGTATTTCTGACAGTGGTTTTGCTGACACTCCTTGGAGGAAATACATTTGTTTCTCATCTTGCATCAGAATATGTTCTGTTATTTGACATAATAACAAAGACATTTTAAATTCTTATCATTACTTGCTTACATGGAAACTTGCCACTTACACCAGCTTCTTTCTAGAGTGGCTCCTATAATCCAAACACCACCCTCAAAATCTCCTGGCATTTTCCAAAGAGGTATCGGGAATCCTACTTGAGAAGCTCATAAACAGGACACAAAGGCAATGCCTCCCCCCGGCTGCATCTGTACTCACAGGTACACAGCCTCTGAATGGAGAGGCTCTATTCAGCTGTCCTGGCTAACAGCATTAGTAGAGGCATAGATCTGTTTAGTTCTATCAGCCAATTTGACAATATTATAACTTGTACTGGCTTAGTAAATCTCATTATGGCAATAATTAAGTACGTCTGTTCTTGGGGTGTCTCAAAGTCTTTACTATTTTTGCCTTTCTGGTTAACGATCACCTTGCCAGGCTGTGTTTCAAGGACTCTTAAAACAAGGCTGGTTAGCATACCAGAAGTCACCCTTCTAAATTACACTGTCACTTATTTTGCAGTTGGCAGGAATCCAGATTCTCACTAAATTGTGCAACATGGGATGTGAAGGTACATCTTGATAAATTTGTGGTCAAGCGTCTGTTTACAGCATGTAAGCAAGATTTACTTATTTATTTAAAGCAATTCTATGCGGCCTTTCCACTCAGTTCAGGATCCCGAAGGCAGCAAGCACTGCAACAGAACATTAAAACGTGGGACATTTTAAACACATACCTACACACATGTAATATAAAGCCAAAAGCAAACAAACAGAGAAGAGAGATTGTAATAGTTAGTTAGGGAACGCCAAACAAAACCGTTTTCACCCGCTGGCAGAAGACAGAGGGAGACAGGCCAATGTTCTTGGGGAGGGAGTTCCAAAGATTACCTTCCATTCCATGCCTTGACCAGATTCGTACTGTAGAGTCAGAACCAGCAGAAGCTACAAGTAAAGTTGACTCTGCAGAAGACTCATTCGCCAAGGAAACAACATCTAAAGCGCAAACTGCTTCTGTGTGGCCTTCAAGGCGAGTGTTGTTTACAAGCTAAACAGAAAGATACCTGATCATACAAAGATATGACAAACACACCTGAAATTCAAACCAAATTGCAAATCAAAGTGCGTGGATGTTCAAAACTGACACACCAATGAAGTAGCTGGAAGGCTAGCAGAAGTTTAATATTAAACCTCCAGTGGATAGCACCACTATAGTGCAATTATTTTCTAATGGAAAGGAAAAAATATTTTACTATATAACTGTCTATTAGTAATTTAGATTAACCTGCATTTGGATAAAAACTAACACTCAATAATGTTCACAAAAGCGACACTACTAGTCTTTTGATCATGTCGTCAGACGTTTTTTCAAGGTGTGAGCTTTTGTGTGCAAGGCACACTTTTTCACATACAATGGAATGGCAGGTAAGGCTCAAACTTATAGCCAGCGAATGAGCTGCAGATTAACATGTAACATGACGATGTTCAAGATATGCAAAGTGAAAACTAAATAAGAAGTTAAGGTCATCAGGTCAACAGTTGTAAAGCAACAAATATGCCAAAATAGCAGACAAGTGTCTAAATGTGTCTTTTCTAATTGTGGGAAGTAACTGGGAATCTTCATTCTCTCTTCCCAGGAGTGCAGGGCAGGGGACACAGCATTTTCTGAGGGGGATGTCGTGTTATGTCAGCAGACGCCCCAATGCCCTTTGCATTACATTCAGTAGTCTAATATACTATTCTGAAAAAGAAATACACTTAAATAGACTGGACTCCAAATTTGTTCTACTGCTTCAGACCAACATGGCCGACCGACTGGATCTAACATTTCCTCAGTCTACTTTAAATATTTTGTACACGACAGGAAAAAAAATTAAGCATTTTGGCTAAAATGAACACAAATGTTTCTAAAGGGAAAACACGGAACATAACTGAAGCAGAATATCGATTACAGAATTGTGGGTCAAAAGCTAGCAGCAAGCTTGCTGATTCAACTCCCTGTGTAAAGCAGGGAAACTTTGGTTTCCTTCCTCCCTTTTCGTGTAAGCCCTTCCAGGTCCCACTTAGTCCAAGCTTCTCCCTCATGGATCACTGACTTCTCGTGGCGAGGGGGCTTGTGTGGTTCGATGAGGCTGTGGGCTATGCCGTGGAGGGCCACCCAAGATGGACAGGCCACAGCAGAGAACTCAGACCAAGCGTGATCCCCTGGAGAAGGAAATGGCAACCCACTCCAGTATCTTTGCCTAGGAAACCCCATGGACAGTAACAAAATGCTAAAAGATATGACACTGGAAGATGAGCCCCTCAGGTCAAAAGGTGTCCAATATGCTACTGGGGAAGAGCAGAGGGCAAGTACAAGTAACCCCAGAAAGAGTGAAGCGGCTGGATGTGTCTGATGGTGAAAGGAAAGTCCGATGCTGCAAAGAACAATACTGCATAGGAACCTGGAATGTAAGATCTATGAATCAAGGTAAGCTTGACGTGGTCAAAAATGAGATGGCAAGACTGAACATCGATATCCTAGGAATCAGTGAACTAAAGTGGACAGGAATGGGCGAATTTAACTCAGAAGACCATTATATCTACTACTGTGGCCAGGAATCTCGTAGAAAAAATGGTGTGGCCTTTATAGTCAACAAGAGAGTGCAAAAGGCAGTACTGGGATACAATCTCAAAAATGACAGAATGATTTCTGTCCGATTCCAAGGCAAACCATTCAACATCACAGTAATCCAAGTCTATGCCCCAACCACTGATGCAGAAGAGGCTGAAGTGGACCGGTTCTATGAAGACCTACAACACCTCCTAGAACTAACACCAAAAAATGATGTCCTCATCATCATAGGGGACTGGAATGCTAAAGTAGGAAGTCAAAAGGTAACTGGAATAACAGACAAGTTTGGCCTTGGAAAGCAAAATGAAGCAGGGCAAAGGTTAACAGAGTTTTGTCAAGAGAACACACTGGTCATAGCGAACACCCTTTTCCAACAACCTAAGAGACGACTCTACACATGGACATCACCAGATGGGCAACACCGAAATCAGATTGACTATATAATTTGCAGTCAAAGATGGAGAAGCTCTATCCAGTCAGTAAAAACAAGACCTGGAGCTGACTGTGGTTCAGATCATGAGCTACTCATTGCAAAATTCAGACTTAAACTGAAGAAAATTGGGAAAACCACGAGGCCATTCAGGTTTGACCTAGATCGCATCCCTGATGAATATACAGTAGAGGTGAAGAATAGATTCAAGGGTCTGGATTTGATAGATAGAGTGCCTGAAGAACTATGGACAGAGGTTCGTGACATCGTACAGGAGGCAGCAATCACCACCATACCAAAGAAAAAGAAATGCAAGAAAGCAAAATGGCTTTCTGATGAGGCTTTACAAATAGCAGAGGAAAGAAGGAAAGCGAAAGGCAAAGGCGAAAAGGAAAGATTTACCCAACTGAACGCAGATTTCCAGAGAACAGCAAGGAGAGATAAGGTGTCCCAGATCCCAGGGGCTGCAGTGGCTCAGAGGTTAAGACACTGAGCTGCAGACCGGAGGGTCTGTAGTTCAGCAGTTCGAGACCCGAGTGCCACGTGACAGAGTGAGCTCCTGTCTCTGGCCCCAGCTCCTGCCAACCTAGCCGTTCAAAAGCAAGAAATTGCAAGTAGATAAATAGATACCGCTTCAGTGGGAAGGTAACAGCATTCCGTGCACCTTGGCATTTAGTCATGCCGGCCACGTTATGGAAATGTCTTCTGACACAGCTGGCTCTTCGGCCTGGAAACGGAGATGAGCACCAACCCCTAGATTCAGATTCGACTGGCTTTCGAGCAAGGGAAACCTTTACCTTTTCCTTTTACTCCCAGATCCTATTCAGGCACTCTGACCACTGACTTTAGACCTATTTTCTCATTTTAATAACTTAGGAATTGCTTATATGCAAGGTTTGGTTCTTACATGAAATTCCAACTTTTGAAAAGACTTCAGTTAGAATTTGTTCCACTAATTACCAATAAAGAATGAACCAAACAGGAGGCATTTCAAGCCACAGCCACAATAGAGCATCTGAGTGGCAGAGAGAGAAAGAAATCAAGAAAACATGGCCCTGGCTTGGAGCTCTGAGAGAAGCGTAAAGGTTGGGAAGAAGAGCAACATTCAGGCTTTGTTCCTGTTTTGTGGGCTTCATACACAGAGTTTCAAGCATGTAATAAGTCAGAAAGCCTGTACGTACCTCCCCGCTTCGTGTTTCCCAGAGAATAAGACATTTGTCAGATCCTCCAGAAATCAATTCTGTCTCTTGACCTGTGAGAAAAGAGAAACACCACAAAGTTTAACAGTCCGAGCATAGAATGCATTACAAGATTTTCCACAGATCACTTCTAGTTTCAGTGATTCTTCTTCCCCCAAAACAAACCCCCTCTGTTCATCTCTTGCCTTGAAAATTCTATGGAGCCACCATAAGTTGTCTGTGACTTGATAGCACTTTACACACCCACACACACACGTTGGGTTAGTTTTAAGGACAATCTCGGTCTTATGAAAAATATGTACTTGGTTGATCAATGATGGGGCATTCAGCTTGGAGACACTCTGCATGGAGATAACACCAACATAGGCCATCTTAATCTACTTGAAGGGCTGTCATCTAAAAGATGGTAAGAAGTTGTTTTCTGTTGCCCCAGAAGACTGGACCAGAACCAAGGGGTTGAAATTAAATCTGAAGAGTTTTCAGCTAAACATTAGGAAGAACTTCCTGACAGTTAGAGCAGTTCCTCAGTGGAACAGGCTTCCTCGGGAGGTGGTGGGCTCTCCTTCTTTGGAGGTTTTCAAACAGAGGCTAGATGGCCATCTGACAGCAATGCTGATTCTGTGAACTCGGGCAGATCATGAGAAGGGAGGTCAGGGAAGGGTTCCCTTAGTGCTCAATTCTCGTGGTCCTTTCTTACACGCCCAGGGAAATGCTGATCACCACTTTGGGGTCAGGAAGCAATTTTTCTCCAGGCCAGTTTGGCTGGAGATCCTGGAGGTTTTTTGTCATCTTCTGGGTCACTGGGGGTGTGGAGAAGGACGTATTTGTGAATTTCCTGCATTGTGCAAGGAGTTGAACTAGATTACCCTGGAGGTCCCTTCCAACTCTATGATTCTATGATTCTACTACCCTGGACCTTTTGACCTTTTGACTAGAGATGCCACCTTTGGACCTTTTGACTAGAGATGCCACCTGGGACTGAACCTTGGACCTTCTGCATGCTGAGGAGATGCTTCTTCCACAGCAGCTCCACTCCAGGAATCTCTTTTGCCTCACTAAACTCACATGTAAATCAGGCCTTAGAGACCATGCCTGAAAGACATCACAAGAGGACCGCACCTTCCAAAGTTTCTGTAGCTGGCCATGCTGGGGAGAAAAAGAGCCAAAAGTTCTTGGCCACAACAGGAGCAAATCGATGCATATACTCAGTGCTGAGGGACTTGAGAAAGTATATCGTCATCTCTACTCAGCACCAACGTGGGTCTGGAGCTGTACATTACAAAACAGAAATGGCGGGAAAAAGAATCACAGATTTAAACGACAATACTGTACTTACAGCCGTTGTTTCTGTAAATCCATTGAACACAATTTACTCTCCCAGTGTGACCATTCAATGTACCAACTACTTTTCTTTTCTGTAAAGAAGAAAAAGAACTGAGAAAGGACAGAGAGAAGGATCCTAAGGATCCTACTGATCAAGTAAAAATTATAATTAGAACTGTGGTGTACGAGGCTTTGTCTTTAGACTGCGAACCAGAAGGGTTAAGCTGACCATGTAAATTATAAAAGTACAAAATTTATTAGGGTGTACACATATAAAAATATATTTGAGTCAAATATTAATCAAATATTAATACACATGATGGGTCAACACTTTCCAACTGAAGACCAAACGGCCTTACAGGGCCTTCCTCAGTGGTCACTATTACAACATAGTATAGACACACATTCAAACATATGTATACAAGATCTTTAGTACACTTATTTAAAGACCAGATGTTATATCCTTATATGTTTGTAATTGTGTTACTGGTATTAATGATGGGCCATAGGTATAGCCATATCCATTCCAATTATTCTGGTAAATGAGATTTCATAAGTCTGAATGTGTGTCACTCCATCAAGGTAAGGATTCTGTGACCACTGAGGAAGGCCCTGTGAGGCCGAAACACGTTTGGTCTTCAGTTGGAAAGTGTTGACCCATCATGGTATTAATATTTGATATGCTTTTATTAGTCTGATACTTGAAAAAAAATTTAACCCGAATATATTTTAATATGTGTACACCCTAATAAATTTTGTACTTTTATAATTTACATGGTCAGCTTAACCCTTCTGGTTCGCAGTGTTATCTTGGGTTGAGTTTTCCCCTTCCCTCCCCCTTTGTTTCCTTCCAGTTTTTGTCTTTAGACTACATGGATCAGCATGTGGCAGGACTTCTTGTCAATGATTGTCCCTGTGTTCGTTTTCCATGCACTTCCTAAAATTCACAAGCCAGGACATCCTCCTCCTGGCCATCCTGTAGTTTCAGGATCAAAGTCTATTTTTGAGCCTTTATCCCAATACGTTAACTCCTTTTTACAACCCTTTGTCCAGAAAACATCTACATATATTAAACATAGGGAAGATTTTACACCCAAGATTGAAGGACTGCCAGAACGTCAGGGCACATTACTGGATGGTTGTCTCTTCATTGTACTTTAATATACCCCATGAAGAGGTATGCCAAATTTTGGCTGAACATCTAAATAGTAGAGAGGCACCTTCTCCTCTCACACATTTTTTACTGGACCTTGGCCCTGGTCACACAGGCCGGATATTGCGGGGGGGAGGCATGGCTGTTTGCCCCGGAGCGAAGTACCGCGGGGCCGCTGGTTCAAACGTCCCGCGGTTCGGGGGGAGGTGCCGATCATACGTAAATCCTGCGACGCGGCAAAGAAGCGGCGCGGCGGGGGTTGTGTTTGTTTTTTTAACCAAAGTGTGCGCATGCGCTGTTGGGTGCTTGTGCGCATCCCATGGAGACTTGGGGGGGAAAAACCTTTTCACGACAGGACATGGGTGGGCATCGGATGCCACGAGCTACCACCGGAAACGTGATCAGATGCCCGCCGTTGCCATGCGGTTTCCGGAAACTAGTACCTCGGAGGTACTAGTTTCTTACGGCGCATCTTCGGCGGGAAGCCTCGGGTTCACCACGGGAGCTCTACGCTTCCCAGATGTTGTACATAAGAACATAAGAGACGCCAATGTTGGATCAGGCCAAAGGCCCATCCAGTCCAACACTCTGTGTCACACAGTGGCCAGAAATACCAGTGCCATCAGGAGGTCCACCAGTGGGGCCAGGACACTAGAAGCCCTCCCACTGTTGACCCCCCCCCAAGCACCAAGAAGACAGAGCATCACTTGCCCCAGAGCCCCTAGCTATACCTTGTGGCTAATAGCCACTGATGGACCTCTGCTCCATATGCTTATCTAATTCCCTTTTGAAGCCGTCCATGCTTGTAGCTGCCACCACTTCCTGTGGCAGTGAATTCCATGTGTTAATCACTCTTTGGGTGAAGAAGTACTTCCTTTTATCCGTTCTAACCCGACCGCTCTGCAGTTTCATGGAGTGCCCACGAGTTCTTGTATTGTGAGAAAGGGAGAAAAGTACCTCTTTCTTTACCTGCTCTTTCCCATGCATAATCTTATAAACCTCGATCATGTCACCCCTCAGTCGTCTTTTCTCCAAGCTAAAGAGCCCTAAGCGCTTTAACCTTTCCTCATAGGGAAAGTGTAGTTTGATCGCGCTCGGAAAATCCGCCTATCTTCCGTCTCTGTAGCGTGGCTAAAGCTCCGTGTGACCGCAGCCCATGTTGATATTATTTTTGACAGAAGTTTTTTCAGATTTCAAAATGATTTTTTTTTCCAGGTCAGGGGGGTGGCAAATTTTGGGACCTACCTTTGCACCCAGTGTAGCTAACCTGCTCATATCTACTTCTGAAACTAAAAAAGGTAAAGGTAAAGGTTCCCTTGCTCGAAAGCCAGTCAAATCCGACTCTAGGATTGCGGTGCTCATCTCCTTTTCAAAGCCGAAGAGCCAGCGCTGTCCGAAGACGTTTCCGTGGTCATGTGGCCAGCATGACTAAACACCAAGGCGCACGGAACGCTGTTATTTTGATTCTGAAACTAAGTGGCTATTAAATCCAGACAACAACAATTTCTTCAGTAATATTTTATTTTTCAAGAGATATATAGATGATCTGTTCTTTTTATGTGAAGACATCCATATTTTTGAGTTTGTACAATGGCTTAACTCTGTACATCCAACCATTAAATTTTCCTTTCAGAGCAGTTCTGATAGCATTGACTTCCTGGACACCACAATTTTCATTTCAAGAACAGGCACCCTAGCTGTAAAACCTTTTCCCAAAAGAACGGATAAGAATTCATACCTTCATTTTCAATCCCATCATATTAGACATATACGTGATAATTTACCTTATGGACAGTATTTGAGGGCCAAAAGGAATTCTACTTTCAATGAACATTATGAGAGAGAATCTTCTAAACTTTCCCAACAATTTAGAGAGAAAGGTTACCCTACAAAGATTATTCAACATGCAGCTGTTAGGGCTGCTAGGATTGACCGCTCGAATCTGCTTAAAGAGACAATACACAGTCAGCAATCACGTTCCTTATTTTGTGCCTTTCACTTTACTCCATTGGCATCTCAAATAAAAAGCATAATTTTAAAGCATTTGTGGAGGGAATTTCTGGCAGTAAAAATCGTCCTTTCATAGGATTCAAGAGAACTATAAATGTTCGTGATTTACTAGTGCATTCTGACTTCCAGGTTCGCAATTCCATTGCTGCGGTGAAACCTTGTGGCCATTTTCCACGTGGCAAATGTTCTACATGCCCCTTGGTCTGGCAGACCAGCAGAATTGAGATTCCGAGCAGAAATTTTGTATACGATTTAAAATTCTTCTCCTCATGTTACCTCTTAAAATGTTCCTGTGAATGTCTGTATGTGGGAATGTCGACTAGGACTATTAGAACCCGTGTGGTTGAGCACAGATCTTGTATTAGAAACTCACGCACAGAATCACCCATGGCTCAGCATCTCAGCGACATGCAGCATTCTCCTGATGATTTTCCATTTGTGATGCTGGAAGTGCTTAAAACTCACCAATATACTTCCATAGATGTCCAAAAAAGCCTGCGACAACATGAGGCATTCTGGATTTTTAAACTTAAAACTTATCATCCCCATGGCCTCAACCAGGCATCAGAATTTGGCTCCTACTTATGAGTTGACTTATCATTAGAGTTCAGCTGTTACTTATGAGCAGAAATAGTGTCTGGTCCTTTCATTTCCTGTAACTTTAAGAACCCAACAGATACGAGCTACAGTACTTAGTCTCTAGATGCTGACCACACCTTGAGGCTCACCGACTATATGAGAAAATGTTCCACTGGTGATCGGATGCCCTATTGAGACTGATTTAATACAAGGATTGGTGAGCATTGTGTACTATTACAACTCTTTAAATGGTGACATTGTGAGAGCATTCTTCTTTTCCTTCTTCTTTTTAGGTTTTTTGCCTATATATACTGCTTTGAAGGCTTCTGTACATTATGAGTTCTTTATAAAGGTATTTTTTGCCTTTTAATATAAGGGTATGGTTATAATTGCAATACATGATAATGATAGTATGGCTTACTTGTAACTGTAGTCTGATGAAGTTTTTGAAGAAGAGCCATTGAAACGAAGATTGAAATCCTGAGTCTTAGTCTTTGTACTACTTATTCTGTACTACCTACGTACTTGTGCATTACATGATGTATTTTGCTATCACTGACTACATGTGGTTTCTTGTTACTCCTTTTTAGTACAGTGTTATCTTGTTATATAAACATTTTTCCTGCTGTTTATATTACTCGGGCACTCTTTGGTCTGTGTTATTTATGCAGTGTTTGTTTGTTTCATTATGTATCCACTACAAACACGCGTGGGTTGCAACTGAGCTGGAAATTGGGGTGGAAATATGTGGGGCCGTTCAAGGTGTTGTGCAAACTAAATGAAGCCACTGTTGAACCTGACCTGCCCAAAACTTTGAGACATTTACACGCCGTTTTCCACCACAGTCTGTTGAAGAGAGATCTGGGCCTGAACGTATGGAGACCACAGCAGCCTAATTCTAACCCTAACCCCCGGTGATGGTGGATGGCGAGCAACATTTCAAGGTCGCCCAGATCCTGGACTCCAAACTTAAGTGGGGGAAGGTGTTTTATCTGGCAAACTGGGTGGACTTTGGGAATGGGTGGAAGCTTCCCATATCAATGCTCCAAAGCTTCTCCGTGCTTTCCATCGGTTATTCCTGCTCAAGCCGGGGGGAGGAGGAGTTTTGGGGGTGCGGAATGTCGGCTGACGCCGCCATGGGATGAATTGTGTTCTCCCCGCTCGCCTCCAGCTTCCCCCTTGTTCTCGCCGCCGCCCCCCCTTCTGGTATGCACTCGTAGCCAGTGTTCCCTCTAAGCTGAGTTAGTGTGAGCTAGCTCACAGTTTCTTAGCCTCCGGCTCACACATTTCTGTTTTCGCTCAGGAAGGATGGGGCTCCAGAGCAAACTGATTTATGCAGCAGCCAAATCGCTCGCTCACAAGTTTAATGCCAGTGGCTCACAAAGGAGAATTTTTGCTCACAAGACTCCGCAGCTTAGAGGGAGCATTGCGTTGTAGCTCATCCCATTATCTCTGTGTGAGAGCCGAGCCGTTTGTCCTTTGAGCGTGCTTGCTTGACCCTGCTCATTGGCCTGCGCCTTTTTTTGGGGGGGGGGACTTGTATGAACGGAGTATAATTATCTGTCTTCCCACCTTACCCTGTTCCTGAGGCCAGGTGTATCGTCTGAGGACCTACGTGCTTCCCTTCCATAAAGTGCACCTTCCTTAAAGACTGCTGTGGAGCCTGATTGACTTGGGACTCTGACCGGTGGCTACAAGGTGCCTTGACGGGACTTCACACAGGCAAACAGAACTGCGCCTGCTGCCCTGAGCTCCCTGGACAATGTCTCCTGCCGCTTCCTGTGTTCAGGGGGGATTCGAAGCAGCCGCAAGCAAGGCTCCCTCTAAGCTGTGGAGTCTCGTGAGCAAAAATTCCACTTGGTGAGCTCCTGGCCTTAAAGTGGTGAGCGAGCCGTTTGGCTGCTGCATCAATGCGTTTGCTCTCTGGAGCCCCCTCCTCCCTGAGCGAAGACAGAAATCTGTGAGCCAGAGGCTAAAAACCTGTGAGCTGGCTCACACTAGCTCAGCTTAGTGGGAACACTGGTTGCAAGCAATGTTCCCTCTAAGCTGTGGAGGCTTGTGAGCAAAAATTCTACTCTGTGAGCTCCCGGCCTTAAAGTGGTGAGCGAGCCGTTTGGCTCCTGCATGAATTCGTTTGCTCTCTGGAGCCCTCCTCCCTGAGCGGAGGCAAGAATGTGTGAGCCGGAGGTTAAAAAGCTGTGAGCTAGCTCGGACCAACTCAGCTTAGTGGGAACACTGGACTTGCAAGCAATGCTCCCTCTAAGCTGTGGAGTCTTGTGAGCAAAAATTCCACTTTGTGAGCTCCTGGCCTTATAGTGGTGAGCGAGTGACTTTGGCTCCTGCATGAATTCGTCTGCTCTCTGGAGCCCCATCCTTCCTGAGCCAAGACAAAAATGTGTGAGCCACAGGCTAAAAAATGGTGAGGAGCTGCGGTGGCTCAAGTGGTTAAGACGCTGAACTGCAGGCTGTGGAAGGTCGGTAGTTCAGCAGTTCGAGACCCGAGTGTGCCGCATGACGGAGTGAGCTCCCGTCTCTAGTTCCAGCTCCTGCCAACCTAGCAGTTCGAAAGCAAGAAATTGCAAGTAGATAAATAGGTACCACTTCAGTGGGAAGGTAACAGCGTTCCGTGAACCTTGGTGTTTAGTCATGCCGGCCACATGACCACGGAAACATCTTCGGACAGCGCTGGCTCCTCGGCTTTGAAACGGAGATGAGCACCGCAACCCTGGAGTCGGATTCGACTGGCTTTCCAGCAAGGGAAACCTTTACCTTTACTAGCTCACACTAACTCAGCTTAGTGGGAACACTGGTTGCAAGCTGTGGAGTCTCCTGAGCAAAAATTCCACTTTGTGAGCTCCTGGCATTGAAGTGGTGAGCGAGTGATTTGGCTCCTGCATCCATGCGTTTGCTCTCTGGAGCCCCATCCTCCCTGAGCTCGGACAAAAATGTGTGAGCCGGAGGTTAAAAAGCTGTGAGCTAGCTCGCACCAACTCGGCTTCGTGGGAACACTGGACTTGCAAGCAAGGCTCCCTCTAAGCTGTGGAGTCCTGGGAGCAAAAATTCCACTTTGTGAGCTCCTGGCCTTATAGTGGTGAGCGAGTGACTTTGGCTCCTGCATCCATGCCGTTTGCTCTCTGGAGCCCTCCTCCTCCCTGAGCGGAGGCTAAAAACCTGGGAGCTGGCTCACGCTCGCTCAGCTGAGAGGGGACCCTGGCCGCCCTCCTGCGAGTCCGGCACCCAGCGGCTTTTTTGGCCTGCGCGCCCGCCCCTGGGGGGGGCTTCTGGCGACCCCGCGGGGCTGTCGAGGCGAGAGACGCTCAGAGGCTGTGGGGGGGGGGGGGGGCCC